GTGCTTCTTTTATCCCTTTCCAGTTGTTCTCCAAAGTAGTTTCTTGTTCTTTCAGTGGATCCTGTAGAGCTTGGAGCCTGTTGTTGAGAGTTATCTTGAATTCATGGAGCTTGTCAGTATCTCGAAGGAAGGCTGTATTGAACCTTTGTAGTGCTGTTTGTCCAGTTGTCCAGTCTTTCTTTAGCTTCAGTCTCATCTTGGCCACAACCAGGTGGTGATCTGAAGCTATGTCAGCTCCTCTCCGGGTTCTCACATCTTCCATTGATCTTCGCAATTTTTTGTTGATACAGATGTGATCTATCTGGTTCTCTGTGGTGTGGTCCGGTGAGATCCATGTAGCTGTGTGTATGCGTTTGTGTGGGAATATTGTGCCGCCTATAACCAATTTGTTGAATGCACATAGGTTTGCAAGTCTCTCCCCATTTTCATTTCTTTCTCCTAGTCCATGTCGTCCAATTATATCTTCATATCCTGTGTTGTCCACTCCAACTTTAGCATTTAGGTCTCCCATCAAGATAATGAGGTCCTTTGGTGAGCATTTTGCTATAATTGATTGCAGCCTTTCATAGAACTGATCTTTATCATCGTCGTTGCTATCATTGGTAGGTGCATAACATTGGATAACATTCATTGTGATCCCCTCCTTCTTTGTTCTGAATGATGTTTTGTTTATCCTGGGTTCATGAGATTCCCATCTCACAAGTGCATTTCGTGCTTCTTTGGATAACATTAGAGCAACTCCCTGAGTATGTGGAGCATTTTCCCCTTCGTGACCGGAGTACAGCAGCATCTCTCCTGTACCTAGCTTTTGTTGTCCAGTTTGTGTCCAATGGGTTTCGCTGATTCCGAGTACTGCCAAGTTGTATCTCCTCATTTCCATTGCTATTTGGCTGGTCTTTCCTGTCTCCCACATTGTCCGGACGTTCCATTTACCTATAAAGAGTGTTGCTCTGGTTGTTAGAAGATGCACCGGTCTCCTGACTTCCAAAGAATTTCGGCTTTCATCGTGAGACTTCATAATTATTCCTTCAAATCCCAGGGCAGAGTTTAAATGGTTTGAATTATTTTTTCTGGTTAGCGTTTTTTTATCGAGTTAGCTTTTCTACGGGATGGGGTCGCTAACCTCATGCCCAACCCTCCTCCTTTACCCGGGCTTGGGACCGGCATTAACTCTAGACGAGCTACAGGCGGAGTTCCAACTTACGTCTGTCGAAAACCAGGAACGCTAGGTATTTTCTATGAGAGAATTAATGGACGGCCCACTAGTGGACTGAAAGAAGCCTTAAGAAGCTTAAAAAGAGCCGAAAACATTCCACCTAGTCAATTTTAAAAGGAAATTCCAGAATCTCGACGTCAAGTTTCCTGTATCCTGGTTGGATGACTACAATGATGATTTCGCCTTAACTGAAGACTACAGATACCTGGGAGTTTTGAACCATATTTGACACTGTTCGGAATAGAATTCCTTCTCATTAAAACACATTTATCTCGATTTATTTTTGGGACTTTCGTTTACTGGTTTGACTCCGTCGCTTTCTGTTACACCTCAGCATATACACTTGGTACCACTAGTTTGTCCTTAGATTCTCTGCATATATTGCTCAGTCTAATAGGTGTGAGTACCGTCTATTAATTCAACATACCTCCATTTATTTCGAAGCTGCTTCTTTTAGCGTTTTATACTTTTCGCGCCACGGAACGGTACGCAGTAAAACAACTACATCTGGAAATTAGATCACACATTTCACACAATTAATCTTTACGTTCATCAAAGTCATTGTGTAAACCAAACGCCTAGCATCGAAACTTTATAAAAATCGTGAAATTATTGAGCGATTTCATTACACATACACTGCAGTGGCCAAAACTTCAGCATCCAGTCGAAACTCGGGGCAAACGATAAAAAGTCTAGTTGAACGAATTGAGTCGTGTTCCTCTAAAAAGCGTACAAAGAGTTTATAACTGACTCTAATTAGGTCATATCAGAACAGATTTTCTGTGCTTAATGAAACCTTTCCTAAATAAATGAAGACAAATTATATAAAAACTGAAGGTTACCTCGAAAATTACCCTAGAACAAAATGGCATGTTAAATAATAAAAGTAATGGCCGTTAAATAAGTGTATTCCCAACAGGATAATATCGGAAATTTACTAGCAAGGATTCCGATCGTTTGCAGCAGATTGTCAAAGACCAGCAATTGTAGCACGCACTATTAACGTTCACTTGGAAGCAGAAGCGATCTGAAACAAAAAACACACTATAAGGCCAGGTAAATGCCTCTGAATTAAAAAAATGCGGCGTACTGGTGCAACAGATAAGTAATCAAAATTTGAAAGTCGCGATCCGAGTACAGAAACGGAAAACTTGTCACAAAATAGTTCTATTAGTCGTTTTTCAGATTCAGCTTACGTAGGACTTGTTACTATTCTTCCAGTACGTTTACTCCTTGCTGTCGGGCAATAAGAAAAAACAGATTTGCGGTATTAATGTCACACGTATTGATTTTTAATACTGTTGCACAATCGCAAACCAAACCAAGCCACAACATTGAGCCCAGCTAAACATGGTGTTACTGCCAATGGCCCGACAACACGTGACAGCGAAACTAATTGATCAAGGTAAATCTGAGACAAAGTAGAATGATGAAGGCCCAAACAAAGAAGATTGAATAATCTAGGGATTGTTCCCGAAAGACTTAGGTAAAAATTAGGATAGACGATAAGGTACAAGGACAAAGAAATAATAATGTCAACTAAAACACTTCGAAGATTTTTAGGAGTGTTCTTCTTCATACATACATATTTAACACCTGGTTTTCCATATCTCCATGAATAGTTCGTTGTAAAAACTAGTTTCTGATTTAACCTATTCCATGATTCTTCTGCGTTAGTAACTCATTTACATAAACCATGACTGTAAAGCTCTGATCATACCTAAAAAAATGGCATGAATCTGAAGTTTCATAAATAGGTACTTATTTGTTTATTTGCTTGTGCTCATCGTATATGAAGCTGTGTTCTATAGAGAGCCTCTTGAAGTTCAAAAAGTTTCTTTCATAAAGACTTCAACCTATATTTCGTTATTAGCTTCTCCAGAGTATCAAGCCTACTGAGGGACAAGTTAGGCTGGCATATACGGCATCCTCCGACACGAAAATCCTGAAGGATGAGTAACGTCAGGGAACTTCAAGGCCTGGCGGAGTCAAGTTCCTGCTTCCGTAAGGTTGCGATGAAATTATGACCTTACGAGTCAAACTTAGGTGGTCTTTAAGATCTTATCCACTCTAGAAATCGGTAAACTTACCATATTGTTCAGAAAACAGAATCTGTCTGGAAAATTATTGGTCGTAGATACTGTGACTGATATTAGAAACGGTTTCTGTCGAGGAGTTTCTGATAATAGGGTCAGGATTTTCAAACAACATTTTTGTTTATCGAGCCAATGGTAAAATAAGTTGACCCAGTCAAAATATAAAGCATAAATATCCTTGTCTCACAGTGGCCTTTGTTAGTTATTCTTAGAGTTCAAGTTCATTTTCAAATAACCAAAAAATAGGAGCGGGGCCATTCTCGGACAGGTTATAAAAACTGCTGACTCATAGTACAGTACTACTTCGTAGACTTAACCACTAATACGCTAATATATCTGCACGAAAATCCTACCGTTTATTTCCATTGACATTACCTATTTAATAACTCTACTTGAATTGCATATCATCTGCAAACCAATTCTCTTGATGACAGAACAAGCCTGTAAAACAGCGTGAACCTTCTACGTCAGTAATATATTATTATTATAGAAGGCAAACAACAACTGTTGAGTAAGTGATAATGACTTTACAACGGCCTGAAAGTGTGAGCAAGTGTTTGATATACCGCGCTTTCGGAAACTTTTATCGTGACATCCCAATGAGTAAAAGATTGCATTCATTAAGTTACGTGACCCGATTTAAGCAAAAGAAAATCAAAACGGGCCTTGAAAGCACACACAATTCGGGCCTTCTGTTCAATGACAAACACTTCACAGAACACTTTAGGTGAAATTAAAGGTAGGATCCCGTCTGCATCCACAAAATGTTGTGCCCTCAGAAGAATTTATGTACAATGTTATGCATTCTACGCTGCAGACTCTTCTCACGAAATCCCGGCCTGTGACATCGAATACTTAGGCTACATAAAAGCGCTTACAAGTGATTCTATGGACCTTGGAAATCCACAAATTAAATCAAACCTAGCCGTAATAATGAGTTGTGATAAGTATTTTTTTCATTTTCAGAGTTTTCAGTTGAAAAATGAAAAAATCTGATACAGTGTGATTTCAGCTATTACCATTACCCTTGTGCAAACATTCCAAATAGTTTAAATAAGTACGTTCAACAAAAGGGAACTATTCAGCTCGCTAATAAGATAGAAAATTTGCCAATGATCCTCAACAATTTATAACATGTGATGCCGGAGTCACATAAAATTCTGGTCAAAAGGCATTATGATGACCTCCTCAACTACTTACTAATAAATGAAAACATGATCCAAGTGGCTTTAAAACCTGAATATTATTCATGTTGAGGATACGACTGGTATTCGGAACCTTCCCGAACAAAGAAAATCAGAAGTCAGACGAGAAGAGGTAGGGAAGATATATTTGGTACGTTGCCGAAATATCGAGAGGCGTTTGTTCTTAGCTAGCTGTTGAAAAGTAGGAGCTGTGTCCCACGCCGAGTGGAAACGTTATCTGGTACGGATGCGTGACCGAAAGCCTTCAGTTGAACAAGTCCACTTAAACAACGTGGTCAGCATCCAATGTCGAACACTTAGAAAGCTATTGATTTTGGGGAATTATTTACAGCTACAGTGCCACAAACTCAAGATATGCTGTTTTCGACGGTAAAACATATCAAGGATATTACTTGAAAATCGGATAAAATGAAATTAGCCACTAGTAAGATACTGTGAAGCCTCCGGGTTTTTTATTTCATTTTGCCCTTGTTTGTGTTGTGTGTTTATATTCATCATTTAAAAGTATTTTTGACCAAGTTTTTTGACCTAATTTAGCTGTTGATGCTTGTTAACGCGAGGAAATATGTTTCTAGCTGTTTTCTTTGCTTTGAGTAGTAAGTTCATAAATATTTGAACCTTCGTTAGTTTTACTTGAGTCTGGAACCTGCATTGAGTTCGTATTTCCATGTGGCCAACCAAAAATATACGTTGGATATTTATGGATTAACGCAACAGTTGTGCATGTAATTCCAAGAATTCAGGCAGCGCCTGACAAACCCAACGATAATTATGGTATGCTTTTAATTATTGATAATATTTTAAGGAAAAGTTTGTCGTTTCAAAATACATAGTCCCGAAAGCTCCCTATTTTATGTAGAGTTACTGGATCAAAAATATGGATTCGCTGAGTTGCGTGTAGATCCAAAATTGTCATCTAATATCACAAAGACTTCATCATTTGTTTTGGAAATAGAAGCAAGCGACTGTGACGAACATTCTCGTACAACTTCTAGGTTTGTATACGACATTCTTTAACATTCTCTTTATTTTGGATTTTTTTTATTGATATAAGTAATAAATTATGAGCTTCATAAACCTTTTCAAATCATCGGCATGACTTGGAATGATGGTGTATCGTTATCTATCAACTTTCATCACTTAAATGAACCTTACAACCATGCTCCGTAATTTATGACACTACATCTAGCCTAATTTTTAAATCTATCCGTGTCTGTTCACGTTTTCAGTCAGGTTACATTATAAAAGTACTGTCAAAATAAAAACTGTATGGACGGTGAGCAATATGATCTGCTTGAGTGCATTTATTCACAATAAATGAGTGTTTCTAGGTGAATATAAAAATTATTTTCGGTTGCCGCATTTGTGTTTCTTGAGGAAACGAGCTTTCAGCTCTCTACTGTGTGTACTTAATATGAAGTGAAAGACTTTGTGTCTCAGGAAAAAGTGGTTTAACACAACAATCACTCATCGTTGTTCGAAACTGATGAATACTGAACGCAGCTGACGTCTGACAGAGAGGTAGGTTACTTTATAGGTCAAATAACGATATATAATGACGCAAACAGCATTCAAGCAGTCCTTTTACTCGCTTGCCATTTTTGGCGCATTTAAATGTGCAGTTCTTGGGTATAGAAGTACACACATGCGGTTGAATTAATACAGGCAACCTTAAAATTCAGCTTTTCCGCGATACGTTGCATCCTATAACAATACTGATACATAATAGTCACTCTTCATTTATGCAAAAGTTTATGCCTCAGGCTTTCAACACTTTTGAGATCGAATGACTTCTACCTACGTTTAGATTTAAATACTTGTTGGACATAAAATAAACCCCTAGGCCCCAAATAACTTCATTATAACTTTGTATTTGTTAAATGATTAACTTAGCTCAAAGACGTCAATATATGGTTGTCCCAATACTCTTTTAAGTGTAACGAACCAACTTTTAACAAGTTTGATGAAGATATCATGTATTTTTAGCCTGACGTCATACACACTATTGTAATCGAAAATCGATTTTAGCTAAACCACCCTTAAAACCCAAAGGCACTGAATGGCCGCATTGTCCAAATATAGGGCTCTTCAGGAGGACAGATCTACGACTCTACGCTCAGGAATCAAACTCAGGGTTTTTGATCCTGTGCACAAATGCTTAACCTCTAAACGATTGAGCAGTCACGCGACGATATTTATGTCTAGTTTTAATCGGTACATGAGCGTGAGCAACCCTTCATTCGTTGCCTGTGGTGGATAACTGTCTCACGCCTGAGAAAGATTGAATTCCACTGGTCATGAATTCTCACTCGAACTTCAGGAGTTACATCCCGAGGCTAACAACTAGTAGGCGCCTGACTACTGGTAGCATAGGGGGATTTTTGGAGATAGCAGAATTTTTACGCTTAAGTTTACTGCTATGAAGTATCAACCTGGGACGAAATGGTCGTTCAGTGCTCCCAGTTTTTCAATAGTGGTCTGACTAAACTCACTGCTTGATTCAAGCTGTAAAAATATCATATTCTTGAACAACCCTCTCAAATCGAAACGTCATTTAGTAGGAAAGATTATGGCCTGATTGGGTTTAACGAAGAAAGACGAATTTTCGCCTTTTTCCGTTGACTACTAGAGTTCGTTTGCAACTTCATGTAAATTAACAATGTCAGAAAATTCTGCTTATAACATTCAGCACTACAGTAAAAGACATCTCGCTGTCAGACATTTTTGTGTCTGCAAGTGACAATGAGTATTGTACGTTTTGAAACCAAATATAACATCTTCGCTGAGCGTTTTGCAACTTTCGGTCTAAAAAATTGTGTCCACCGTTTGTTATTTTATAAAAAGTAACCAATCAAGATTTGTATACTAAAGATGAATAAAAAAGAGATAGAGTGTCTTATCTCATAAATGTTTTGGAAGTTATTTAAATTTGATTCAGGAGTAGTATAATAAATAATATTTAACAATGAACTTACAGTTCAATGCCGAACCTCACGTTCATTCAAATAACTGAGAGTGGGCTTAATACCCTAATTAATTTATTGAACAAACATAAATTAAAGATTGTCGCTTAATTATTTGAGTACGTCAGTTTAACAATGGGCTCAACTTTTCAAATTACACAGTTATACAACAACATAACTTTATCTCTTATTCAAAATCGAGTTTTTTGTTTATATATTCACTTATACCTGTATTACTTTGGGAGATTTTTTGTAAAGTAATAATATACTTGTTTAAGTTTGCTTGTCTTTATAGCATACGTGTAATATTTTTGTGTGTTTTCTGATATCTTTCTTCAGTATTAAGAAGAGAAATAAATTTTGTTTGTGGCTTCGGCTGATTGATGGTTTGTACCTAAATATGTAGTTTTCGCAAGAGCTCACCATTAATTTGAGAAAACGTAAAAGTCATCTAAATGAAGTTAATGTCTTAAGTATTAACCTACATTTCTGAACTATTCACAGCTTTAATCTTTCCCGGGACGAAACCAAGACTTACTCATTTTTATAACCAGAATGTGATAGCTTGTCATCATGTTCAAGTAAATCCATTGACATTTTACAGCTCATCTATCTGACGTTGAAACAATGTATAGAGTAATAATTCTACACTTTTTTATTATAAAAAAATCTTCCATTATAATTAATACTGTCAAAACAGTATTCTTCCCTGACTCGTTCCTAAAAATTACTGCCTAAACATAAACTTAACATTCTAAAGGATACATTTATATGTTAGGATGAAATATTGAGATGAATAATGAAGCACTTAAACTCTGCTAATAAACTATTTTAAAAATATTTGCAATCTACATCGTCTGTAAATTTACGCATTAAAGTTTTTGCATGTTACAACAGATATATTCAATTGATTATAACAGGTCATCTATCTATCCAAAAGATATTATGTATTTCGCCCTTTTGTAAGTGCACCACTCAAATTGAACTTGTAGTTGTGAATTGATTCGTTATTTAAAAGGAATGATATTTGACATCCCATCAAACAACAATTATGAACTGATAGAAGTATTTTCACTTGTTTTAAACATTTCGTCTCAATATCTTCGCATAAATATTTGTGTTTTAATGTAACGAAAGTGACTTCAGCTAAGGAGAAGTTACTTTGTTAGACGAATGCTAGTGGATTCATTAAAAGTCTCCATAATGAAGGTATGATAGTACAAATTGTTTTTCTTGTAAACGTAATGGATAGATTTATGGTTGAATATTTTTTAAAATCAAAATTAGTTGCGAATTATCTATATGCTATCTAGTTAATCAGTTTATTTGTTCTAAGGCATAGATTGATGTCAACTAAAATAGTACTGGAAAACTAAGAAGTTTGAGTGCATTTATTTATAAACTATTTTGATACTCACCAAAGATGCCACGTAAATCAGCACAGGCATCATGAAATGTAAAAAAAGAATTAGACAAAAACTGTGTACATGCTTTCTGTCGATATGCTCATACATATTCAGCGTATACAAAAGTTTGCCTACTCAATTTTTGTATGCCCAGTATGAATTTGAGTTAACTAAAATGTATTATTCAGCTTCAAACTAGATGCTGATGCTTCCAATTCTAGTCAGCTGGTTTGCAAGTTGCATCTAGAACTTATTGATATTTGTCTCTAAGTAAATAACGATGAGTTAAATGACTTTCGACCTTTAGTTTACTTTTTTCTCGTAAATTTGATGATTCTGATTATCAAGTTGAATGAGGATTCAATGCAAAGGTTATACAGATTATACACAGACTTGTGTTAATCAAGTGAATTTCGAGAGTTGTATGCTTTTTCAACTAATTCATTATATAATCATTTGATGATTTTATCTCTATAATTCCTTGTTAATATGTTTGATGACGCAGAATTTTCTCTCACATATTCTATTTATATGTAACAATTTATAAGTTTTCACTTTCATTACTCCATCATGATGATACTTATCCATCTTTACTGTGATAAAAATGTAGACTTTACAATAATTTTGATTTTCAAATATTATAGGTTGTACGCAGCTGATGAAAACTTTAACAAACAATATAAAATCATGTAATTCTCTTCAGTTCTTTGTTCTTGCTCTATTCAAGATAATAGGAAGTGTAAATAAACTACTGATTTCATTAGGGTCCTCTCCTACTTTAGCAATGATTTCTTCTTTGAGATTGATAAATAACAATAATATTTTACAGAACTTGAATAATCTTTCTCAATTGATTTTTAATAATATTCGTTATAGTTTTTTTCATTTATCTGGTTTAGTCTATTTTTGTATAATAATATGTTTCATAGAAATTTTATTATATTGCGTAATAAATGAAGTTTTGTTTCTTTTTGTTTTCTGAAGGAAAAATAAGGAATCATAGATTTTTATTCTCCCTGTGAAGGATATTCATTATTCTATTGTTTTTTCCAACTAATGTTAATAATGATTTCGTCTTATCTCGAGGGTTTTTTTTCTCTACGTGTATAGATTTGTGTTATTTTGCCTCAAGAAGTCTAAACAGTTTTATATGTGTCCATAAGGTGTTCAATGATTTTAGTTTAAATGGAAAATCTGTTAATTATTACATTTATGTGTTTATGAAATAATGGTTTGATGTCAACTATGTAAAATAAATCTTATGGATAATAGATTGTTGTCTAATAAATACCATGTCATTAATTTTATTGAAGTCTTTTTTAGAAAAAAAAAGCTAAATATTCATCTCTACTTGTAATATTTGTGACTTAAGGCAATATCGAGGCAATCCCCTAAGGATGAAGATATGCCAATAAGCGACTTATCAGTTTCAGTCCTAAACATCAATGGGAAAATTCAAGCAACCAATACAAAAATGAATTTATTATTATTAGCTTTATTTAATACTATATTTTTGCTACAATATTGAATTCTCAGAGCAGATTATTTCGGCTTGTTTCCTTTTCTTATTTCCTGATCGATATTGACGATAAGTATTGAGTGATCGCCTGTTAGATGTTAGCATTT